CCCCCCCCCCCCACTCAACCACAAGAGCATGCAAATGCATTCTGACCATTGCCAGAGCTATTGGTTTGCTTTGAAAGGTTGCACAGCATTCCCATTAGGTGACATTATGTAGGCTTATTTGCAAAGAACTAAAATAAAAACAACTCAGTTATTTTCTTTGCTTATTTTCTTTGCTTATTTTCTTTGCTTATTTTCTTTGCTTATTTTCTTTGCTTATTTTCTTTGCAGTAACCTGACATGCTGTGTTTAATCAGCAATTTTTGGGGAAATTTTATTTAATACACTCTTACAGTGCCATTATAGCTTGTAAATAATTAAGAAAGGCTTAAACAATGAGTTAAAATTATTAATACTAACAATATTGATAAACTTTTTAAGTGAACAAAGTAAAGATAATCTTCAAGAGAATTATGAATCTAAATTAAATTTGGAATTTGAACATACTAAATTGAACCAAAAATATCCTACCACTCAATATATTACACAATTTACAATATTATTTAAAATAATTATCTCTTATTATACAATTTACAATATTATTTAAAATAATTATCTCTTATTATAGCCATCTCTTTTTGTATTCCACATATGATAAACCCCCAAGATGACACAATTGAAACTCCAAGCTGTAATTAACCCCTTTAACTCCTAGAAGTGATGAACATGTAACTTCTCCCTATTACATCCATACATAATCCAGTACACTGGTAATAAGAATACTCAAACTTATCAGGTGAAAATTGTCATCTTGATTTAACACCAAATTCATGTTGCTAAGTTACAAGGAAATGTGCAGCAGCTAGAGAGGAGAATTGACAATCAGATCGTGGGAGTCTAAAGGTCAATAATACATTTCCAATGTTCACCTGGCTTCTCTTCTTCTATTCTACATCATCAATGTTGAGCTTATAATTCCCCACAACCCGAGCATATTCCCAGCTTACCCTCTTAGATAAACAAGTGCTATATTTTATTTCACCAAGACTGACTTAACCCTGCTCTGTTAATTTGTCGTAAGTTTACAAAAGATCAACCTGCTTGACTATCCTTGATAGTCAGAAATGAGAATGTAATCATTTGTGAGGACAGTTAGGTTTGCAAGGGGCTGATGCAGCCTAGTTTCCTTTGAAGACGCTCTCTCTTAGAGACCCTCCTGTCAGTTTGCCTCCACAGAATTTTCATTTGGCAGATGTAAAAAAAAAGTTTATATTTATGTTCCAATCACTGAATCTGGGAGAACTTCAATGTAATCATTCTCTTGCAACGAATCATCACCCTTATTGTCTTGCAAGGGCTCCTCTGAAGAGGCCCCTGGTGATCTGGGTGAATTAGGTCCTTGGATGGTTGTATATATTGGTGATGAAGGACCATCGGCTTCTCTTGTTTGCACATAATCTGCTTCGTCATGCTCAGAGCCAGCATGTCTAAGTGAGTCAAGATTGTCTAAACTTGTGCGACTGGCTGTTAAAACAATGATTCCTTCTGGTTTAGCATAATCATAGGTTTTATCTTTTGGTTTATTCTGAGGTGGTTTTACACTTTGGGGTTCACTATAAACAGCTCCATCTGATCGACAGTCCGCAGATCCTGTTTCTTCCAGTGGAAGTAAGTAACCAGAATGATCTGAAATGAAGATGGGTGAGAAGAGTCAACAATGAATAAAACTTAAGTTATACCTCTTTCTAACTGAGCTTGCAGTCCATAATTTAAGATACAGACCAAATATTTTCCACTTGGGTTTGCAGTTTAAGAACAAAGCAGAAAAAGAAGCTACATCATGGACTGAAAAACCAAGGTGCATAAATACAATAGTCCATTTTACAGTTGTATGCTTGGTTGCCAAGCCTTTGAACAGTAATGAGGCTAAGGGTGACCTTGTTATGATACAAACCTTGCTGTTTTTCAAATGTAAATTACTTTGTTATCATGCTAACTAGATACTGGTCTCTATCACAACAAGGTCACCTTCAGCCTCATTCCAAGTCAAAGGCTTGGCAATTAAGTACACAACTGTAAAATGGCCTATTCATTATATCTCTTAATTGAGTTGCGCTAATCTCTTCAGAGGGTTGAGTGTACAACACATAACGTACCTTCGTTAGGCTTAATCAGCTTTTGATACTCTGAGCGACATCTCTCAGGTGCAGGTTTCAAGAAGGCGTATCCCTTGCGTATTGGACTTCCTACTTTTGCATAACCTGCTTCATCAACAGCTGGTTTGCTGTCAGATGGGGGAAAGGGAATTATTGTCTCGGCCTCTTGTTTAAAGAGAGCATTGCCTAATACCATCAAAAAAATAAGTCAGAATTGATCACATCAGGCATGTCTCTGGTAGATGAACAAAATAGACATTCAAGAGAAAGTAATATTTCTTACCAACATGGAGCCTCGCTGTGCGCTTTTTTCGTTTCCTTCGACTCCTGATGAGATGAACAGTTATTTGTTATTAAATGAGGCAAATAATGATTAGTATCTATGGCATTTATCTCATTGGTATTTAAACTACAATTATAAGTATCTTGTGGTACATGAATTTGTTAATAAAATCCCCTCACTTAGACACTGGCATATGAACCAGTGAGCCAAATTTTTTATCCTCACTACAATTTGAGGTCATCTCTAAAGTGTCATGCACAAGGTAAAGAAATGGTAAAGTCTGTAGTGGAGCCTATTGCCACCCTCCCAACTGAGGCTTATCTCAGTTTCCGAGTGGCACAAAGCAAAGGGCTGCTAGCCCATCACAAGGTTATCCCTTGGCATTTCATAGACCAGGCTTTACTGACAATTTCCTGGTGCCTCAGTTTGATGTCATACTCAAGAACATATCATTATAACCCAACCTACAGCATCTCTGAACAGACAATTTGCAAATGTTAGCCCTTCAACTCCCACAGGTGACTGACATGTAACTGTGATTCTCCCTACAATATCCATACATTTTCTAGCAAATGGTTAATGAGAATACTCAAACTTATCAGGAAGACGTTTTTTTCTTAATCTCACACCAAACTCTCCTAACTAATTTACAAGGAATTGTGTAACAGCAAGAGGAGAGAATTAACAATCAGATCTTGGGAGTTGAAGGGTTTATTAAGCAATCACCTCTCACACTAACAAAACTAACATTTTAGCAACAATGGTGAAAATAAAAAAAAAAAAAAAAAGGGGGAATCACACCTTCGCTTCATTTTCCAACAAATCCATAAAGTTGCAGTAATGGACAGGGTGGCAATAACAGCACCACCTGCGATGACTGCAATGAGCCAAATAGGAAGGCCGCTATGACCACCATCATGGAATTCTTTGTCACCTTTAGTAAAGACTGACTGCTCTGTAGTTGGGGAAGGAGTGCCCTTGTTTGGGGTAGAGACAGGATCTGTTATGCCTCCATGTTTCTTCGTCATATTTCCAGTTAGGCTGGTATTAGAATGTGTGGTCTGTATAATTACATAAAATCAAATGTATCAATTTTTCAAAAGGTATGAAGACCTGGCCTGCAGGCCAGACATGATCAGAGCTTTTGTTCCATGGGTGTTAACAGCAAACTCTTTTGTATAGAATGAAAATTGGCTTTTAGAGTTTTTCTGTCATCATCAATTGGAAACTTTAACTTACAAAGAGGTGGAAAGAAATCAAGCACTGCAAACTCAAAGTGTTCCATTTTACCTAAAATTCTTAGTTTTTTTAATTGATAATTAACTTGTACATACCATCAATGTTGGTAATGATGGATTTGATTCTTGACCTTCAAATCAACAAAATCATTATATCAAAAATAAATATTTAATTCTTAAAAGATAATGGCAAATTTAAGAGACAATTAATGCCAGCACTTAATATAAAATGAGTCACTATTAAGAATTACTATTAAATAAATGTGATCATAAAAGTGTACCTTAAAGTTATTATGAGGATTAATAAATAAATGAGCAGCTAGAAAATAGTTTGTAAATGAAAATTTTAAATGTTTCTTATTTTATAGGTTTGCTAAGTACATATCTCCTGACCAGTCAAAGATAAATGGTCATGATACACTAAAAAATAAAACATTCCCTGAAATATTTCTAATTATTCTCAGTTTCCTTGAAACTGTGTAAGAACCATTTAGGTCTGAAAGCAGGTACATGTGGGGCCTACTCGCTGAAACTGAGATCTGGTATTGGGTTATGCTTTTAAATGGATAGAACAGAACCATTTTGGATGTTTCTCTGGTCTGAACCTAAAGGAGGCAGCTTTCCCAAAGCATGCTGAACTCCAACCAGAATGTTCCAAGAGTACCATCAAACTGGCCTGTGTCACCCTTAGACCCCTAGCAGTGACTTGTATCCAATTTCTCCCCACAATACCACCCCCAAATTCAGAGAATAAAGGAAATTATCACCAAATAAAGAAGCTCTTGATTATACAACAAATTCTCCATGTCAGCATCTTAGGAAATGTATAGAGAACAGTGTGGAGAATATGCATACTGACATCATCAATGTGTAAAAGGTTATGGTACACTACCACAAGGATAACAATTTTAAAGAACAGTTCTACTTACAAGGTACACTAGTTCTGCCCGTGAATTTGAACATAATGCACAAATTTTTCGGAAGATTGCTGTCTTGTCCAGTGGTACATTGTAGGATGACTTTAACAACCTTTCCATACAGCTGAGTCACTGGCTGTCTTCTATTCCACTGTACATGGTGAAAAGAAAAAATAAAATAAATTTAACCAACTTGTCCGTCCATCCTCTCTTGTTAAATCACCTGATACAGTTTTATTCCATAAATTTGTTAAATTAGTTATCTGGAAGCTCTCTCTTCAAATTGCTTTAAATTAGCATGTATTTTATTGAGTCAACCAATGTGTCTGTGGAAAGTTTGGTGCCATATCAAGAAAAAAATCTCTAAAGTAAAGTATCAATGCCAACAGTGCAGAGAATCCACATTAAAATCTTGGAAGCTTAAGCTAAAGGGTCAGAGTCAAGAGTTTTTTATTTCAAGGAATGATTTCAAAGTTGAGTTAAAGATGAAATCTGTTCTTAAACTGAGTGGCCCACCCAGCCAGAGCTCATCCCTGTTTCCTAAGCATGAAGAAACTAGGAGTATCACTACTCCCCCCTGGATGAGACGCAACCCCATTGCAAGGTTACCCCCCCTCCCCTCTAGCATTTGACCTGGCTTTACTGATACCCATTTGTACTCCTGGTTAAAGAGAGGCACTGTGAATAAACCCTTTAACTCCCAGGAGTGACCAAGGGAGAATTTTTCCTTACATTATCAATACAATATCAACTATATAAGTGATGAGAATAAAGAAAAATATCAATTTGGGGATAATAAGTTGATTCAATAATAAATTCTCTGAACTAAAATTTTAAGATTTGTATTGTTGACAGTAAGGAGAATTCTCACACACAGACCCCCCCAACCTGGAGTCTGGTGCACTACCCATTGTGCCACTGGATCCTGCATTAAAATTTAACTTAAGAATTATTTAATCATTAAAAATGTAAGGATACCTGAAGGAAGTGAGCATGTTGTTTATTTTTTAGGTCTCGATGGTGAATTTTGAAAGCGGGCTGCTTTCCTGAGAACATTTTCCATGCAGCAGAGCTATTTGCTGTGACATAACTTGTTCCTCTGATATCACAGTCCTCCCTTGGAAGAGTATACAATTTTAAAGACCTTGAGCTATTGAATATTCTTAGAGCATTATCAGCTCTTTCTCCACTGAAATGTAACGTACACTCTGGAAAAAGGAACAAAAGACTTGACTCAAAGAATGGTTTGAACCAGACAGCAACTGCCTAGCCTATAATAATAACCCACAAGGATGAATTGTTAACAGGGTGTGATGTTTGAATGGGGTTTCACCCTTTAACTCCTACAAGTGACTGGCTTCTAATTTCTTCATAGAATAGCACCCCTGAATTACACACTAAGGTCACAAGAAAAATTAACAGGAAATGATCACCAACAAAAGAAGCTATTGAAAACTCTCCCTGTCAGCACTTAAGAAAATGTATAGAGAACAGTATGGAGAATATGCATACTGATGTTTGAGTGTAAAGGATTAAAAGAACTTTGAATTTTTTCAAATTTGTGTGTAAAATGAGAGCATGTTCCCCTCTTTGTGACCCCAACGCCCCCCTCTCATAAAGCATTCAGCACCACCTCCGTCTAGACCATCCAACTATTACCACAAATTATCGAAAGACTTTAATTTAAAAAAATGTCATTATTCTTAACATTCTCATCAAAAATATACCAATATTGTTGTGAAATGATCCAGTAATGAAAAGATCATTCATGAATATATTGGTAAAACAGTAAGTTGGTCGTCCAGTCACACACAGTTTTGCACAACATAATTTCAAACTGTTCTTCCGTTTTTCACTCCCAAAGTCTAAATATCAGGTCTCCTCACTGTCTGTCATACATTTCTCATGAGAGTTTGGTGTTAATCAGACAGAATTCTTTAGTTATTCCATCTTTCTTCTCATCGCTATTTTGCCTGAGGATGTTTTGTTTTCGTAAGCAGAATAGATATTCCTTTTTGGCCACTTTTTGGAGTGGAGGGTTAAAAAAGATAATTTAATTGAAAGTTGAAGAAAAGACCGGGTGAGGAAACCAAGCTTCATCCAAGAATTCCCCGCCACAGGATTGACCTTGCATTATGGCATTTCTTTCATTACAGTTTAAATACATGAGTGTTAAAAGACATGAAATTAAAAATCAAAGGGGTGTTAAAAACTTAAGGAGGAAACAAAAAAAAAACATCAGGCAACCTGAACAAAATGTAATGACAATTGGGGAATTTCTACTGATTTGTTTCACATGGTATCCAGTGATGCTCATACCTGTAGATTGTCTCTTAATCTTACAAATAGCTTGAGAAAATAAAAATACTACTTTATGCAGTTAGAGAGTTTGTTTAAGATTATTTGCTAAAATTTATAAATGGGGGTATTCAATTCATGACAAGATCATCCTACAGCTTAACGTACCCAGCCAAATAAAATTTCATGTAGTCAAATCCTCAAATTAAATTTTTAGACAAACATGGAAACAGACTTCAGCCACAGAAATTGTATGACGTGGTTCCATCTTAAAATTAAATTTTTTAAACAAGACAGAAACACAGAAAATTAATTTTAATAAATGCACCTACCATCGCGACTTTCTTGGTTCCTTATACAAGTGTGCAAGTCCTCTCTGTAAGTACTGTGAGATCTCTTGCACTGGCAAATACAGTCATTCGACGTGGAAATTAAGTTGCTGTTCATTTGTTTGCAAGGATTTTCTTCGTTATTACAAGTTCCTGTGTAATTGTAGAAGAATACACTATCTCCGTTTCTCAATCGCAAAACTGAACATTCGCGTGTCTGACCAGATGTTGACATAAACAAACATACGAGGACCAAAATTCGTTTAAAGATCGTGCTGCACTGATTCAAAATTTTTCCCTTTGAATAAAAGTTTTCTCGTCCAGCTCGTCCCCTCATCATATATTACAGCGATATTCCAATATGTTTCGGATCAACTATTATTAAACAGGAAAATATGTATTTCCCAAAATCTTTAGTCTTTGTCTCGGCGTTCTATTCTCTTTGAGTTGAAGAAGCACATTGAGTAATTAGAAATTCCGTGATCCTTAACATCCGCGTCAGTAACTGCTGTAAAGATTCGAAAACGCCCTTCCCGCAATTGTCAATCGTTCAGGAACTTAAGCCTTGCAAGAATGTTTTATTCCGACCGGAAGCCAGTATGGTACGAATGTCGTCTGCAGACCCTCGCCCAATTTTCGCGCGCGTGTGATTCTGACCACTTCTGGTGGTTTCGTCAATAACTTTCCTGATTCCGTAAGTTTGATGTTCTTGAAAACACCATAAAAGTGAAAGAAGGACTATCCGTGTCAGGCATGAAGATATTTCTATATCTGTTGATACATCTTTGTTATTGAGTCATTTGCTATTTTCGTCACAAAGCTTGGGGCAGATTGTCTCCTTGGTTTCAATTTAACTATAATGCATAGCCTAGAGCGCGTTCAATATGGATTGTTTGTCGTCTTTACGACGCCAAACCATAAGAAAGATTCAACAAACGGAAGCTAACTGAAGTTCTTCGTCCGCCATTTTTGGAAATGGACATTTCAAAAGAACATCACGTTAACGTAACGCAGAAATATCTTATGGGAGGGGTGGTAGAGGGCTTAGCTGTGCCTAGCAGAAATTTGAATGTTTCTGTCCTGGGTTTAACAAGTATTATGAGTCCACTCCATTTAAATTCGTTAACGGTTTTCTCTTAATGAAAGTAGAATGACGGTACGTAATTTCCGGTTAGAAAAAATTTAGGGATTGAAGGACGGGGTAAGATGAACAAATTTCTTACTTTCTGCTCTGTAGTGGGGTGGGAATAGTTTTTGTCCTGGTCCGCGTCTGCTAAAATCATTAACATTTCTTTTGCATTAACTGCACGGTTGACTCAACACGCAGCTATTTGTATCAGTATTATTTACCCATTAACAGAGATTTACATAAAACCCAAATTTCCTAAGCGAGGAGAACCTTCCTATAATGTTCCTGACTGTGAATATATGAAAATTATATATGTGAACTGCGGATAAAGACGTGGATATCTTCATTACTGCGAAGATCGCTTTCATGTTCACGTTTAATGTTCCTGTCAACACTCTCTGAGGGTGGTATGAAAACTGATAAATTTAGACAAGGTAAAAGAATTTACAAGTATATCTGCATGACACCAACATGTTCCTCCTCAATGTCGTGCAGCAAAAGGAAACAGTTCGTTCTACCTCGTTGTTGTTCTATATATAGCCGAGGCAGCGTTAGGATTGGTAAAGTTTCCGCACAGCCCCATACTATTGTAAAACAAATCTGTTTTCCCAACGGAAATGTATTGTTTTTGTCATTGTTTCCTCTGTTCAAGAACTGAATGCATAATGCATAATACCTTAGGATTTTGTGAACGACGCCATTTTTGCTTCCGGCGATCAATAAGCAGTCAGATAATTCATTTAAAACTGGATGGTCATGTACAACGTGGCATCAGTTTTCACTGTTCTCGTCTTTATAGGCCCACCACATCTTTTCGCATCAGGTAAGCCGGGCATGTACACCTGAATTCATTAATTTTATTTAACAAATAGAGAAGCCTTGACTGTGCTCTGTTCTGTTATAGAGCACGCAGGAAGTGGCTAGAGCACGAAAGAAGTGTAGGGAGAAACACGAGACGTAGTCGAGTGTTTCTTCCCACTTCCTTTGAGGATTTTCGTATCTGCTCACATTTTAATAACGTAAATTACGGCGCCTGGTATATTTACAAACCTTGGTTTGATTCTTCTGTTGCTACTTTCCGTTGCTTACCTATATTACAGTCTCCAAAAAATTTTTGCGATGCCTCCTTTTCACAGATGGTCGATTACAACTACAACATAGTGACACCTAGAGAGCAGTAAAGAGCAGTTTTTTTTTTCAGTTTTGACAGATTTCGTGGAGGTGTTACTATGTTGTAGTTGTAATCGGCCATCCGTGAAAAGGAGGCATCGCAGAAATTTTGTGAAGTCTGTAATAAAGGTAAACAACGAAAAAAAAAAGCAAATATCTTACGGCTAATACGAAGTCATGAGCGAAAACGAAGCACGTGTTTCGTTTCTACTCTGTTTTGCGGGTCTAATATGCTAAATAGGGCCTTCATCACGAAGACAACATCGGGCGAGCTCGGATTTCGTAATCGGAAATCTACCCGAGATGACTTCCTTCTGACGGATGTCGGAGTACGCTTTCCTCTGGAGACGAACGAAATGGCGTACGAACGACACCGCCCCTCTCTCGTCTTTGGACTCGGCTAGTCACGCAACACGCCCTCTTCTCGAATTCTCCTCATAGAACGTTGCGTGACGTACCTTGTCAGGTAAAAAAAGAAAGAAAGAAAGAAAAGAAAGAGCGCACACCCCCAAATGCAAGTAAGAAATTGCACTGATGTAAGACCCTCTATCGGACAAACCTTTCTTCGTTTTTGTATCGAGGAGTGAGCCTTATATATTTTGGCCGATTTGAATTGATAACATTTATGGTGTTTCAGGTGCTTGTACAGACAACCATAACTCTTGTTCCGATTGGGCTGGTATCGGGGAGTGTTCAAAAAATCCTCTGTGGATGCTTGATAATTGTCCGGTGAGCTGCAAAGTGTGTTCTGGAGTACCGGGTGAGTCAGGCCTTTCTAAAGGTTGTTGTTGTGGTAACGCGTTTGCCATGGCCTAATAAATGAGTACCCGTTTTGTACAATGCAATTAAGGGCCCTAAAGTAAACGTGACCTCCTCAAAAAAAGTGACAAGTTATGATAACAATAACCATAACAATAACGATGATGATGATGGTAATGGTAGTAATAATGACAAAGATGGCAAGAATAACGATAATAGAAATAGTAATGATAATAGTTGTAGATGGCCTTATGGATGCTTACGTCAGAAAGGAAAGTTACACCCACAAGGTACTCGCCTTCAAGGAGTGGACTGGTGGATCATATTAAGAAAGTATTCCAAAGTATTTTTATCGAAATGATTTCGACGTGAAAATGAAAAAAGGTGGTACATATTCGAACAAAATGCAGCGTCAACGTGACTTGATGGGGGAGGGGGAAGGAATTTTCAGCAAAGAACGTCATTAGGTTTAAGAGCGATTTTAGGCTAAAATGCTCATTTCGAGACGAAAGATGTATGTCAAAAAAGGGGTTGCCGACGACTTTTTTATGAATTGATTTCACATCTTAGCGTGTGTCAACATTTACAATGACCAGTACTGTAAAAGTAATGTGGGGAACTGTTGGACGTCGTCTATTGCTGCTGATCTTGTAAAGAACTGTAGGAAAACTTGTGTTTGTAAATGCTGCCCCTCAAGTCCTACAACAGTACCAACAACTGCATATGTCCATAACGCAACAAGGTATACAACGGTATCAGCTTTGACCTCGGCTACCACTTCAGTGGAAATAGCAACGACATCAGCTTTGACCTCGGCTACCACTACTGTGGAAATAACAACGACAGCAAAGGATATCAGTACCACGCCTCAAACAACATCAACAATAACAAACTCGACTCCAAACGAGGAGAGAACTACGGTGCAAACAGGTGAGGGAAGGGGGGGCACGTACCCTTGATTTTTATAGTCTCCTTCCTAGCTATTCTTTCGAATGTCACGTAACGCTTTGCCCAGAGACAGGGGGAGTGTTGTGTAACAACGTAAAGAACGATTGCAAAGCAGGCCAACCTTTCTACAGATAACGAATAAAATGTAACGAAGTTGTTTCCTTCGCCGCCGTTCATTGGGATTTGGAAGTTGCGTTACACCACAAGGAACGGCTTCGAAGAGGACTAGCAGTGGCAACGAATGTAAATAAGGAAATAAGATCTGAGTACGAATTACGTTCTTGCGGTACCAAGAGTTTGAATCCGAAGGAATTCCAAGTCCAGTCCCATCTTTATTTTTTATGTAATTTAGGAAAGGGTTGTGAGGATTCATTTTACTCCAAAGTCAAACAGAATTCATGATGACAATATTTTGGATATTTTTTTTGTAGAATACACGAGTGCCATACCAGACACAAGACGAATAGTAAACGAGACGTCACAGGTAATCAAGATTGCATTCGATAGTATCAGATTTAAAAACAGAGTCGTTCCCATACGCATTAAGTATTTTAAGCGTTGCATGAAGAATTTCATTTTCATAGTGAAGTATTCCGATCATTTATTTTGTTGCTGTATTGATCTTTCAGGACAAAGGTGCCACTGAAACGAGTGGATCAAAAACTATGTTGGTGTTAGTCATTACGATGGGTTGCGTGGCTTTTGTTGCTGTACTTGGAATTTTATTGCTTTGGTTTCGGAGACGAAGGCGTTCGTAAGTAATAAATATTTTTTGTTGTTCCAAGATGACGATATTTTCCTTTTTCATTCCGTCATCATTTGTTTCTTCTTTGCACAGATGTTTCCGACTGTGCTCTGTTCTGTTGTAAAGCACGGAGGAGAGGGCTAGAGCACGAGAGAAGTGTGAGTGCTCTAGTCGCTTCCTAAGTAACAAAAGCTAGAGAGAAGTCCAAGAAATGATCGGACGCTTTAGCTCTCTTGCTCTATGTTCTGTACTTTGATAATATAGAGCACGTTGTTTCAACCAATGACAGCGTGCGTTATATCTGAACTTTAATATAATATAAGATGTATTAGTTTTATCAACTGAGTTGATATTATAAATTGGCCTTGATCTACAAAGAGGTTATAAAGCTGAAGTTTCTAGTATTCGTCCCAGCAATTCGCTATGACGGCGGGCAAACGCTGGAAACGGCAGCTTTAGAAATTCTTTACGGTTGCCAATTTACATTATCAACTCAGAGGATAAAAACAAATTTTCTTGTAATACCCGCACTGACGCAGCACTACAGTTTCTGTAGTCTATCAATAAGTTATTCTGAGTCGTGAAATGTCAATCAATCAAGCAATTAATCAATCGGTCATTCAACCAAGTACTCAACTTTCCACTTGACCAACAAGCAACTCAAAAGTTCCCAGTGTGAACATGTAAAATAAGGGACTTGTCAGAAATTAGCAGGGGGGGAGGAGGGGTGGAAACAGAGGGGGGGTCACAACTTTTTGAGCCTCAGAAAAGGGAGGGGTCATGAAAAATGGGCAGTTAAAAGGGGGAGGGTCATGCAAATATATGCCCGTGATCATGTAGAGGTTCACCCACAGAAGAAAAAGGAAGTTCTTTATTTGGAAGAGGTGGATGATCATGATGAATGTGAGGTAGATGAAGGGGATGAGGCATTACCCACTTGTTCTAGTGATGAAGACTTTGTATTGGGAGAAATAGGAGAGTCGAGTGATCAGTCGGACTCTTAATGCTGTCATCGAAAATGTATGTATGTAGCAT